AGGGCGAGCCTCGGCCAGCAGCACTCCAGAAGGAACACAAAAATAAGAAACTCAGAGGGTCAACAACGGACAGAGGCTCAGTCCCCCCCCCGCATTCAACTGAAGGCGGACCCTACTCAGGATAATGATGGACAAGCTTAGGGTAGTTACCTGGAACGTGAGGGGGCTAGGTGACATGAACGGGAGAGAGAAGAGAGGAAGGCTGAAATCGTGGCTGCATGAGTGGAGGGCGAACTGCATACTACTGCAGGAAACAAAACTCGACGAAGCCAAGCTGAAGGACATGACAACGTGGTGGGATGGGCTGCAAATATAGGCCCCTGCCCAGGGGACCAGGGGAGGAGTAGCGATCCTGCTGCATAGGGACCTTCAGGCCAGAGTGATAGACTCAGAGGCAGACTTGTGGGGAAGGTGGGCGTGGCTGAAGGCGGAGGTGGCAAATGAGGAGTGGGTGTTCATGACTGCATACACTTTGAATGAGTTAGGGGAGAGAACGTGATTTCTAACTTGGCTAATGCAACACATTCCAAAGACAGAGAGACTGCTTCTGGGTGGGGATTGAAACTTCTCACTAGACGAAGCTTTGAGGATGGGCTCCCCGCAAGCGGACAGGAGGGACGTTCAGACCATACTGGAGTTGTGCACTGAGTTGGCACTGGTAGACCCTTTCCCATCGTTGAATCAAGTAGATCCTGGGTACACATGGTACTCGCGTCTGCATAGGGACAGACAATACGTCACCAGGAGGAGGTTGGATTATTTCCTAATAGGAGTGCAGCTGCAGAACCAAGTAACACCAGTCCGCACAGTTTGCAACCCACTGTCTGACCATAAGCCAGTCATAGCAGATATCAGGTTGGTTCTAAGTGCAACTAGGGGGCGAGACTTCTTCCATCTGAACAGTCAGGTTTTGGAAGAACCAGGGGTGGGGGAATGGGTGACCAAACACATGGAGAGTTGGTATTTCTTTGTAACAAACTGTTAGTCAAGAGGAAAAATAGGGAGTCTGTGGGCGTGCAGTTTTAAGGCACAGGTGAGTTTTCTCTATTGATATTATACTAGAGCCGACATAATCGACGGTCAATCTTTTTGTTTTCCATGGAATTAGGTCCAATTTTTTTTATTTTTTTTTTCACTAAGCCACGATAATAGTCTAATGTATAATAGCGGAACCAACCGACCCCAAGCAATTAAGAATGATTCTATTTTTTTCATCTGAAGATATTTAGGTTTAAACTTGAGTCTGTATTTCAATAGTTCAGGGGTGTATGAACTGAGTTAGGCCCGTTGGTTCCCTTACCAATCTTGGACCAGGTACCGAAACTTCATCCCAAAAAGATGAGACTGAAAATAATCAATATGTAAAATGAAGGGAGCAAGGAAATAATATTAGTAAAAAAAAAAAAAAAAAAAAACCTCGGGACTGTACCGATGGGGAAGGGGAGAGTCGACACCCCTCCTGTCCCACTGATCGGGTTTGTTACCGAAGTCATCAACAAAACCGAGGGGGATAGCGCCACTAGATGCTCAACCCCTCAATTTTCTTTAAGATGTTGCACTGCTCCTTTGTTGCCGGTCTCCGACCTCGATCCCCATACCTCCGCAGTGAAAGTCAATATCCTAACCATATGAGGGTTGAGCATAACCAACGCGAAATTTAATATAACTGACTTTTACACCGTATACGGACCTACCAAAATGCCCCGAGGCCACGCCTTGGCCTACCGATCCGAACCTACGGCCGCCAAGCACCGTCACTCACCACAAGAAGGGTATGGCTCCGCTCATAACCGTCGTACGCACCAATTCTTACCCCAATGAGACGCCTTTTCCTTCCTAGCGGTGAAAGGCTAAAAAAAATCCATGATGTCAGTAGTCAGATCTGACGTCGGCCATAGCAATCTCGTCCTCTACGTGCGTGCATGTGCCCCTGTCAAACGTAGTGACAAAAACAAAATATCATTTGTACCTAATTCCATAGAAAACAAAAAGATTGACCGTCAATTATGTTGGCTCTAGTATAATATCAACAGAGAAAACTCACCCATGACTCAATGGTCCCAAGGTATAATAGCGGAACTGACCGACCCCAAGCAATTCAGAATGATCTTATTCTTTTCATCTGAAGATATTTGGGTTTGAACTTGAGTCTGTATTTCAACAGTTCAGGGGTGTATGAACTGAGCTACGCCCGTTGGTTCCCCTACCGGTCTCGAAGCAGGTACTGAAACTTCGTCCCAAAAAGATGAGACTGAAAATAATCAATATGTAAAATGAAGCAAGCAAAGAAATAATATTAGTAAAAAAAAAAAAAAAACTCGGGACTGTACCGAGGGGAAATGGGACAATCGACACCATTTTTGTCTCACCGATTGAGTCTGTTACTGAAGCCGTCAGCGAAACCGAGGGGGATAGCATCGTCGGACGCTCAACCCCTCAGTTTTCTTCAAGATGCTGCACTGCTCCTTTGTCGCCGGTCTCCGGCCTCGATCCTCATACCTCCGTAGTGAAAGTCCAATATCGTAACCGTATGAGGGTTGAGCATAACCAACGCAAACTTTAATGTAACCGACTTTTATGTTGTATACGGGCCTACCAAAACGCCCCGAGGCCATGCCTTGGCCTACCGATCCGAACCTACGGCGGCCAAGTACCGTCACTCACCACAAAAAGGGTCTGGCTCCGCTCATAACTATTGTACTCACCAGTTCTTGCCCCAATGCCGCGCCTTTTCCTTCCTAGCGGCGAAAGGCTAAAAAAAAATCATGACATCAGTAGGCAGACCTGACGTCGGCCATAGCAATGTCGTCCTTTGCGTGCGTGCATGTGCCCCCGTCAAAAAAGATCAACATGACTCCTGCATGTTCAAGGTGTTGACGAGGCTCCACGACCTGTCCGTCTTAACACGTGAGCCGAGGAACTCAACGTGCATGTGGGCTAAGTGGATGCCTAGCCCATATAGCGGAAGAAACCTGAGTGTCGGGACCCTCCGGGCCTCTGTGCATACACCATCCGCCAACCGCAATCGGTTGTGAGAGGTTTGCGTGTGAGCATGCCCACTAAAACCAGAAAGATCAAGAATTATGCATTAGCAAGGATAAGCAAGAGGAAACCCTGGAGGAGGCTCATAGGGATACTGTCATGCAAATTTTTCGTTGGACTTCGGTATGGGCCGAAAGAGTAATCGAACCGTCCAGTAGATGGTTCCCTCCGATCTTCCTCTCAGAATAGTTGGGGTTATCAAACATTTTTTGGGCAGTGGTTGCAACTCTGAGAGGGGAGTTCATCGTCAACGTGGTCGCCATCTTGCGCGGACCATTATCCTCCTGTCGGTTATTACCTTCACGATGACAATTATCTCCCGGCCCGTAGCTACCAATCCTCACGGTGCAGCCAAGATCATGCGAATTTGGTCAGAAGGTCAGTCAGGTGAATTAGCAACGAGAGAGGGATAAAAAATGGATATGGCGGCTAAAAAAGGGCATTCCATACTTACTCCTTGACAGATTCAGGCTTAGGAAAGGTGAATTTTGAGTTTTTGGACTGGAGTGAGATCAATAGTGGTGTTAGTTTAGTCAATGACCTAAAGTGGTGCACGAAGATGAGCGAATGAGTTAGTATGGAGGAGTGAGAAATGAATAGTTCGCCCGATTCTTAACAACATCGGACAAACCAAGACTCGATTATGGGGCTTTTGAAACCTGCAAATCGATTTATGGAGTCAAAATTGGAGTTAAGTGCGTAGCTTGAGCGGCATAATGACTAGAGGCTGCGCGCTGGGGAATCGAGGCGGAAGAAGAAATGGAGCGGAGGGGGGAAAGAGAGTCCATGTAACGTGCACGAGTGAGAAGTAAGGAGGCAGGGACATAAAGAAGTTAGGAATAAGATTGAGACAAGTCGAGAGGAGGAGGCAACTAACGCGATCGCTAGCGAGAGAGAAGCACATTCGTATAAGTGAGAGAGAGCAGGAAAAAATGAGGATGTACTTGGGCGTGAAGCTGTGCCGTATGCGGATAAGATAAACATAAAAATTATATATATATCGTTACAAACATATATATATATATATATATATATATATAAGCAAGAGCACGATGTATTTTTTCATGTTTTAGCGGAGGATACACTCCTGCGTTGTATCCAGGGGATCGAACAATAGAGGCAACAACAATCGGCGTCACTGGTCGTGTATCTTCCCATGTTATAGCGAAAAATTCATTTTTATTTCGTACATATGGTCACTGAAAGCCGCGCAGCTGCTCGTAGTGATTAAGTTACTCCTTGGTTGGTCACCAGTTCAACGGTGGTTATCTTCCTCACTCACGTGGTCCCTCCTGCATCATTGTCGTGACTCTCTCCTAATCTGCGCGGTATCACACTTATTTTCTTTCAGACCACTTCTGGTGACCAGAAAGCCAACAGACGGTCACACAAGATTTTGTTTAATTTTGCAATAAACACTTAAATTAATTACTACAAATCTCTTCCTATTGTGTGCTATGTATCCCCGGCGGCCGAGGTCACCGCGGGCACGACCGCGGCCCCCGCGGTCGACCACTCGCCCGCGGTCATGACCGCAGCGGTCGCGGTCAAAAACGGCGCGCCGCGGGCGTGTGGGAGGGGGTGCTGGAAGTCGGGGTCGGGATTCCTGGGGCGCGAGCAAGGCCAGACACCCCCGCAAAGAAAAAAATGAAAAAAAGTGAAAAATGGGGGGGTCCAAATTGAGGTATGTTGAAGGGGGGGTTAAAAAATAAGGGACCTCCTTTTTTCAATTTTGTCGGCGCAGGCTTGGGTTACGGGGGGTCCTCTTCACGGACACGCTGAGAACAATTTTTTTTTTTTTTGGGGGGGGGG